CCACAAGACTGAAAATTACGAACAAACGATCATAAATTTACGAACGCACCCTACTTCAGAAGTTTGCTAAACAGTTTTAGCTCATCGTTACATTAAAAAAAACTGTGGCATTAATCGATAAAGGTACAGGGCGTAAAAACAAAATCATCGTTACCTTCTGCTCGTTGTGAACTTGCAGCTGAGTAGAAAGCAGCCGAACTTGCTTGCTGAGGACCTCATTTCGCGCCTGCCAAGTGTTCGCCAGAGAGCGTGATTCTGAAAACATGACAGATTAAATATGTTTCTGATTGGTGAGATAGACGGATAAAAGGCACCTTTTAACTCCTGTTCTAGAGCGGTTGTAGCTTCTTCCTACAATTGTTGTTTTAATGAAGACAAATGGCATTAAATGGTGACATAAAAATGACATCGTTGCGTTTCTTTACTTAATCAAGCAGATATTAACATATGAAAAATGGGGCTGCGTCATCTTGCAACTAAAGTTGGCGCCATCTTTTGTACAAAGCTGAATCGTTTTATAAACTTCTTAATTATTTTACTTCCTTGTCAGCGGAACACCTGGATGGTTACTGTGCTTTCCCACAAACGATTTAGCAAATACTAAAGTATTAATTTCAAAACTCGAAATTCCAACTAAACGTTGCTTGTTTAATTGCCTTTGAGACGACGCAAAAACGATCTAGATCCTCCAGTGATATGGAAGCAACAATAATAAAAAATAAAATAGTATAAGACAATGAAACTTTCGGTTAGACTTGAAAGTCTTATCAATGGCCCTCTTCAATCGTCAGGTCTAAAATTGCTGAGTGTCAAAGTTTTGCTATATACTAAAATAATAATGTTTTAAATATAATGTTAAATCAATCGAAATCTGTACGAGAATATTTTTCGACAAGCCTCGCTGCGTACAACAGTGAAAAGGATTAATCAAAGCAAAAATCGATTAAGATCAGGCAAGAAAAGGCGGTGTCTACCATTGATGCCAGCCGCTTCATGAATGCCGCGATTTGGTCATCTTTCTGTTTGATCAGTAAGGCGCTGTTCGACTCTTCCTTTTTGAGTGACGAATCTTCAGCGGATTTCAACGTCACAGCGGCATCTAGTCGCGCCTGCAGATCAGATATCTAAAACAAGGGTTACATAACACTGAAGGTAATGCAAGCAATATAACAAAACAGATAACTGCTAAATTTTCTCTCTATACAGATGAAATATGCATCGTTAACAGTGTCATCAAAACGCGTCGACTGTCATTTTAAAATCAGCATGCGCTTCTACACAAATTAGCTGACAACTCATACCGGAAAGATGTCTGAGAAGTTCATCTCACTTTCATTTGCGTATCGGCATGAAGTGGTACTAAATGGTTTCGTTGAAAATCATGATAAACTACTTTCATTGCGGTCACTAATATCTTAACATTTCAATTTTTCTTATCATTATAGTCTTTAGATCTTTAATATATATGCATTGATTAATGAATGGACTCCTTGCAAATACTACTTCAGCAGTTATGCTGATACGTTTTATCAATAAAAGAGAATATTTGGAATAGGGCAGCAATATAAACAGAAAGCTAAAAATAGCTAAGATAATAGAATTAAGCCATATCGATAATCAGACTTACTCAATTCGCTGCTATGTGAAATCCAGACTAATAACTTAGTACCTAAAATTCCTACTGCTCAAATTTGCACAGTGTATGGCACAACAACGTCTATATTATCATGTGAACTTTAAAATTCGGAATGGCTAAACTTTATATTTGCAGGTAACGCCATTAAAGTTGGTGTTAGCGGTACAAGAACTGAGCGTTTTCTGTTAAGGTTGGACAAAGCAATTAACAGCCCCAGACTCATTAAAGATACGATCCAATTCAGCCCACACATACACAATCTACTCTAAGCAGAAACCCTTCTACTAATATTAACCATTAACGTTATCGCGCTTCAAAGCGCAGACCGAAAGCGTGATGAAAAAGAGTGTAATTTTTAAGCATTAACTCGCACAGTAGATTTTAATTTAAAGGAGTAGTCAGAGTACCTTATCAGAAGCTGGTTCACCGCACCAACATGAAAATATCAGTCATCCAGTTACTATTTCTTCAACAGCTGACCACTTCAGGTTCATGAATTTATGGATTTCATGGGTGCCAGTAACTAAGGAAAAAGTTACGTAAGAACATATTTTACCCGTACCTGATCTCGTCGATCGATTCTCGAGAGTTCGAGACAACTTGGTGCTCATCTAACTCCTTAAACGCCATACGGGAGGAAACTTTGTGATATTATAGTCATGTAAGAAGAAGGAAAATACTGACGGACAAATAATATTATCAGAAATGACTGACGGACAAAATAATATCATCAAGCAGTACACCTAATAAGAATGGAATCATGAGTTCATAGCGACGCTGAATCATGAGCAAGACACGAACAGAACTATGTACGATTCAGGGAAATGCGACATGCATAGGAAAAGGAAAGCGAAAGGACACGAAAATGTGCATTCTGTCACCTGCAGTTACTAAGCACGATGGAGAGGATCAGCGGAGATCATGAAAATATGACTTCCTCGTGATCACATATCAGTTGCAACTAATTCCAACCACTTGAGATCGAACGCCCACAAAGGTACCCCACCCCTGATATGGACCGTAACTTTATTACTTTCATGTTGTGCAAATAGCCATAGAAGAAACCAAGGATGCTTCGAATCATAGCCAACCGTTATAAAATTCCGAGGTATTGCCTGGCAGTAAACGTGTAGAAAAGTTTCGCGGCAGATGCTTGACGTTTCAGCGACTTGGTATTCCAAAATGGAAGAGACTAGCTTTAGGAACCGGCGGAGTAAGGGAAGGGGGTTATCTAATTATTTCCTTTCGTACGCAATGTACATACAAAATTATATATACAGGATTATGTTACCTTTGCCGTATATTCTTGAACCATATCAGAAAACTTGTTTTGAAGCGCCGCTTCTCTGGATGCAGCAGCCTTGGCATCTTCTTCGAATTGCTCTAGGCGCTTTTTAATTTCTTGGACGTCATCTCCGGGACCTTCTGGGGCCAACACAAATTCTACAGCATTAAGTAAGGGCTCGGTAATGCAAACGAACTAAACATGCGTACCCTTTTCTTCTGTTTTCTCCTCCAAACGTTTAATCTAAAGTAAGCCAGTTCAACAAAGCAGAGTTAAAGTGAAAGTGTCAGTTTACAAAGTCTGAAAGAAACTATAACAGAAAACCTACTGTGGAGAACCAAATTCTCTGCAACTTAGTAAAACCAATGCGTAACATCAGTGGCTGCTACGCTTTGTAATATGTCTGCATGGAAGCGACTCGATACACAAAACATACCTAATAGCGTGCGAGAGAACGACACATGGCACATGATCTCCAAGAGGGTTCCGCACCTCACACCGAAAGAGACTCGCCCTTTTATACCGTAAAATAGCCAGACGTTAGTCAGCGTATGAATAAGATGATGGAATTCTTGTCAAATTATAATGTGCTAAATATCAATCATAAGGTGCATGACCACGCGTCCCAGTTGGCATACAGTCATAATGGCAGCTAAACAACGTAACAGCGCACTATAACATTATCATGGGCCTTGGATGGATAGAAAACCACAATATCTGGCAAGATCCAGGTCGGTCAGAATAATTTAG